GAGAGAGGCAGGGACAGGCTCAGGAGCTCTTGTCCCTGAGGCAGGAGCAGGAAAGGAGGCTGTGAGGGTGAGGAGGCGCCTGTGAAGGGAACTCGTGTGCTCCCTTCAGCCTCAGGGCAACGTGTGGACCTGAGCCTCGGGATTAGACTTTTCCCGTTACTTTGTTCATACATGGACTTTAGCCTGATCCTTTCTCGATTTTATGAAGAAACAAGTACACAACAAATCCAGAGTGTCATTCCTGGTTGTTTTCTTTGTACAAATGAAGAACCTGCTCTCACAGTCATCCAGACATCAGCTTTGCGGTCCAGGGCTGTGTCAGAGCCCTGGGCAGGTGAGTCAGTGCAGCAGGTGAAGGGGGCAGGGCTTAGAGCATCCAGGCTCCCTCCTCTCCATCCCAGCTTGACTGAGGGACTGGGGGGCAGGGCTGATTGGAGGCCCTCGCTCAGCTCTGGGTGCCCGGTGCCAAGAGGCTGGTGGTTACGATCCAGTCCCTCAGGCTCTCGAGCAGCATCACATTGGTGACTATGTGCGGTGGCTCACACCTTTAATCCTAGCACTTTGGTAGTGTCAGGTGGGAGGATCGCTTGAGGCCAGGAGTTTCACACCAGCCTGAGCAAGAGTCAGATGCTGTCTCTACAAAAATAGAAAAATTAGCTAGGCTTGGTGGCTCACACCTGTAGTCCCAGCTACTCAGGAGGCTGAGGCAGGAGGATCGCTTGTGCCCAGGAGTTTAAGGTTGCAGTGAGCTAGGCTGACGACACTGCACTTTAGCCTGTGTGACAGAGTGAGACCCTGTCTCAAAGAAAACAACAAAATAAACAAAAACACACCACACAGCCCAATCCCATCGCACCTCTTGCAGTGACCAACCACCATCCCTGTGTTTGTCTTGAAGTGGATGCTTTGTTAACTGCTGGCACACACACCCCTCCTTACTTATATACCTCTGTCGTACATTTATACCTACTGATACACTATGACCCTGCATGATCACAGACCGGCAACAAAGTCTGTTCCGTAGAGCACATTAGAAACACCGAATTCCCGACCTTTCCTAGATTAAGACGCCCTTTTAAACTATGACATGGGAAAGAGTGATAGAAATTACAGTAGAAACCCTGGTGGCAGAATGTTGGGTGGTCGTCAGCCCATGGCACACTCTGTTGGGGGCATACCCAGGTTCTTCTCTGATCTTTCTTGGATACACAAGCTCTCCTGGGATATTGCATCATTTTAACCAAAACAACATTTCAGTCCCTTCCCCCCAGTGATCTGCTTCGAAAGCATGACTGAATCATGGACACTGGTGAGGTCAGGGTGGGGGTGAAGTAAAATACAAGAAGGAGCGGCTATGTGCCATGACACAGACCCTCTTCCTGATGGGTCCAATCTAAATTTCCAAATGGCCATGATCGGACTAACCTCTGTACCTGCAAAACTCAGAAATCTTGCCTTCTCCACGTTATGTTCTGGACTGGGGTATGCAACTTTAAAGTCTGTAATGCTACGGGATGAACTAACAAGAACCCATTTGCTGTTTTCGCCTTCAGTTCGAAGAGATATTTTTGGAATCAGCAGAAGATTTGGATAAGTTAAGAAATGGTAAGAACGAGTATCTAAACGCCTCTGTGCGGGTATCTAGTAGAAGCTACACGGGGAGGTCTTAACACCAGGCAATGCCTATGGAGGGTGGTGATTTGGGATGGTAGAGAGGGAGAAAAGTGGTTAAAATGGAAGGGGCGTGTCTCCTTGAGCAGGTCTGGCAACTCTCAGGGCTGAAAAAAGCCAGACCTCTCTGAGTATTTGCTAAAGGAACCATCCCCAGCACCCTGAGAATGCCCTCTCCCTGCTTTCTCGTGCTGTCTGCACCGTGATGCAGCTGTGATAGCTCAGGGTACCACACAGCACCCCCCAGGCAAGGACACACAAGGACACCCATTAGCGAAAAGCAGTAGATACAAGTCCGTGTTGAGTTCTTTGCTCTTCCCAGACTGACAAGGTGATATCCGGACAATATTATACGCTTTGAAAAGCACAGAAAGGGACCTGTACATAGAAACTTCTCTCAGACCTACCATAAATGTCATGAACACCTTGAGACTTACTTTCAGAACTTCCCATTTTATCTGACATTTGGATGGCAGCCCTGCTGTAGCCTCTCCGAGTTTCTTCCAAAATATCCATGAAGATAAATCAACACAAAAAATATGGGGGACCTACCATTTATTTGGGTAGGAAATAAAAAGGCTAAAAAGCAAAATACAGATTGATAAGAAAAAGGACTATAACACACTAAAAACAAAATCTTCTTTCAGTTGAAAGTCTACCAGACAATAATTTTATGTTTTATTTTTTATCTTCGATCATTGCACCAAATGGTTTTTCATTCTAAAAAGAGTGGGACCCATAGTCATCTCCGTCTCCTTTTTCTTTTCTTCTCCGTGAAGATGGGCGTCTGATGTTCCAGCAAGTGCCAATGGTCGAGATTGATGGGATGGAGCTGGTGCAGACAAGAGCCATCCTCAACTACATCGCCAGCAAGTACAACCTCTACGGGAAGGACTTAAAGGAGAGAGCCCTGTAGGTACATTTTCTGTCTTCACATCGCCAGATAACCCAGGAGAGCTTTAGAGTCCCGCCTCGAGCGAGCAGAACCGTGCAGGGGGTCACAACAGCAGGAAGCTGGCCCTTGGGCATGTGCGCTGAGGTCCAGGGTGGCAGAGTCCTGTGGATGTGAGGGAAGAGGAACGTGGGAGGGTTCAGGCAAGTGTGATCATACAAGAGGATGCAGCCCACGGGTGTAGCGCCGTGACAGAGGCTTCCAGACACTCATGAACCATGAACTCAGGAGGGTGGTGGAATCCTGATTCTAGGTGCTCAGGCCTTTAGGAGGTGAGTCCAACCAACAGGTAGGGACAAGGATGGATTGCTTGGGTGTGTGTAGATGCCTGCCTGGGGAGGGGACGATCCAAAGGAGCTGAATTTCGAGTTTCAGTAATTGCAGGAATGATGAGCAGGTAACTAACTTACTGACCAGTTATATAGACTGGCCGCTTGACAAGGGTTAGAACAGCCTGGTGTCTGAGAAGCTGGGTTTACCGTAACATGTTGATGCGAGTCTGAAGCAGCCAGATGTATTCAGTATGAGCAAAGCTCTGGGGTCTCCTCCCAGTTGTGCTGAGAGCTCACAACTCAAAATAAAACCTTGTTGGAATCGCTCGCCTTTCCTCGAAAAGTTTAATACGCACTTAGCAATGACCCAGCAATTTCTCTACTGGGTATATCACCCATGGAATTGAGGATACGTCCACACTAAATCTTGTACACAAAATAACAGCAATATTCGTAAAGCTGAAAAAATGGAATCAGCCCAATTTTCATGAGCAGATCAATGAAGGATCAAAATGTGCCAAAGGCATCAGGGGGACATTATTTGGCTATAAAAAAGAAGGAGGTTCTGATGTACACTCAACATGGTTGACCTTAAAGACATTATGTTACATAAAAGAAACCAGACACAGAAGGCCAAATTTTATAGGATTTCTTTTGTACAGAATGTCCAGAATATTCAAACCTGTAGAGGCAGAAAAAACATTAGTGGTTGCCTGGGGCTAGAGGAGTGGGAATTGGGGAGAAATTAAGAATACTGCCAATGGGTACAGATTTTCTTTTCAGGGTTGAGCTATTAGAATGTTGTAATATGTGCAAAATTCTGTCAATGAATGTAGCAAAAACCATGGAATAGTATAATTTTAAGGGGTTACAATTATACTATGTAAATATGTCAATAAAGCTGTTATCTTAAAAAGTATTGTGGAAAACCCAGTTTGACGGAAAAGAAAAGAAGGTCTCTTGTAGGCCACACTGGCTGTAACTGTGTAAAGGATGGCACCAGCGAAGGGGTGTTCACCTTGGGTCGGGAGAAACGCAAACATGGCTGGAGTAGGGCAGCAGCAAGTGGAGGGGGCTGTGGGGCATGTTTGTGGGAGACGGCTGAAAGAACTGCTACTGTTGGGCATAGACGTGTGCCTGGGAGGAGCAGAATGCTGAGAGAGGAAGAGGAACATGACCGGGATGGGCGTGCCAGGGACTCTGTTGAGGTTACTGGGGCAGCAGGTCTTTGGCCACCTGAGTCACACTAAGCGTATGAAAGGAACAGAACGACCAAAAATAGAAATGGCAAATTCAGCACAGTGTGGGTGGTTCCTTGCAGGGAATCCATCCATTTTTCTCATGACTGTGACTCAGGACAGGTCACTGATGCTCTTTGAACCTGTATTTGATCATGTGTATAACAAAAATTTTAGAAACACATCTACCCCATAGGCTGTTTTATCTAATAAATGTTGATATGTGTAAAAATCACATCAAATTGAACGACCCATAAAAAATACCTACTGCAGGTGAATCGCATGGTCACCACCTGATGCTCTATTCTCTTAAAGTTTTAAACTGTAAAAGCTAAGACAGGAGGCATTTAACAGCCTGTGTCGCCTTCAGGATCGACATGTATGTGGAAGGCATGGCGGATTTGAACGAAATCATCATCATGCTGTTCACGCATCCACCTGAGGAGCAAGTCGCCCAGCTGGCCTTGCTCAAAGAGAAAACAACCAATCGCTATTTCCCGGCCTTCGAAAAAGTAAGTGGAACCGTTCTGCACTTCACGGCACGGAGTCTAGAGGGCAACAGAGATAATGCTGGGCACTCATGAGGCAGCGACCGTCACTTTCAGGGAGACTTCCTGAGCCCGAGTGCAGCTCTCTGACGCTCAAGGCATTTCCTAGAAATAGGTGGTGAAGAAGAATTGTACTACTTACACTCAAGTGATAATTTTACAGCAAAGTTCAATTAACTAGACCCAAGTCTAGAAGTCTGTATTGAACAGAATTTTACTGTCATAGCAGAATGTGGGCCGTGCAAGGCTCTGACCACACTAGATGTTGGTCTAGACTAGAGTCTCTGACACCATGGGCTTTTATTCAAGGGGAACATGGGGAAAGCAGTACAGCAGACAGTACTGTGACACCACGTGTAGGGGGACATGAGACCGGCTGCCCATCACGAAAGTATTACAGTGCTTCAGAGATGGAGGAGAAGTATCTAAACAGGAATGGTGGCGAGGGGATGTGGGGTAAGATTATTTTTACATTTCAAAGTAAGTTTCAGGCATCAGCGCAGTTCACCCCTAGACACTTGAGCTTGCAAATACAATGCATCGTAAGTTAGGAGTCAGAGGCAAGTCTGCAAGGGAAGTGATGAATTCAGGGTCACCCAGGTTTACTTGAGATCCCAGCATATAGACCAGGAAACGAGGAGAGAAGGAGGAGGAGACGTGTCCTCCTGGGGGGAGAGGGCTGTCAAGGGGACTGCAGAGAGAGAGAGCAGAGTGCAGAGCCCCGTCCTGGAACGTCAGGGCTGCGCTGTAGGGCGCGGGGACACAGAAACGTGCACAGCAGGTGCTGAGACCCGGGCACACGTGGAAGATGCCAGTGGGGGTGGGAGGTGAGAAGGCCGCAGGGCTGGGGGAACGAGCAGAGGATCGGGAGCCTGGGCTTCCCCCGAGGAAGCAGCAGGGAGCAGAGCCCGCTTCTCACTCTCGCTCCTGAATCAGCGACCGTGGAGAAAGGTCTGGGTCTCACACCTGCCAGTGAGGACGCAGAGGTGGGAGGGTCAGGGGCTGGAGAGACTGGGGGACAAGCAGGTGCCGTGCCTGACTGTGTGTGTGTCCCTGATCTGGTGCCTGGAACTCCCCAGGTGTTAAAGAGCCACGGACAAGACTACCTTGTTGGCAACAGGCTGAGCCGGGCTGACATTCACCTGGTTGAACTTATCTACAACTTGGAGGAGTTTGACCCCAGCCTCACCGCCAACTTCCCTCTGCTGAAGGTGATCGGTTTCACTATTTCGCAGCCCCCAGAGAGGCAGCCCCACATCTCACACAATGGAATGTCGTATTGGGGACCTTGGACTGGTGACATTCAGACCCCAGCCTCCTCCAGGCTGGCACTGCCCCCAGGTCTCCAAAATGAGCTTTCAGGGCCTGATTCTTAGGCATGAAAAGATTGTTGCCATGGCATGGAAATTTCCTGTGGGTGCTACCCCAAGAAGAATATTTTTGCAACAGAAAGAACCCAGAACCCAGCATGTCCTCCAACTCCCATTCCATTGCGGTCTCTGTGCCCGATTTCTCTGGGATTCCCATCATCCCGGGGGTTCCCCTGTCTTCCCACACTGAGTCTGTCTGGGCAGGTCTCTTTCCATGTGCTTTCCTTCCCTGGGCTCCAGTCCCTGCTGCCAGACCTTCTGTTCCTCTCTGCCCAGGCCTGCCCCACACACTCCCACCCACCCCGTGTCCACCTCTCCGTGGGAAAATTGGTCTGACTGGCCCCAGTGTTTGCCTTTACTATCTTCTGTCTCCATTCCCTGCTCAGTTTTCCCATCTCTTCATTTCTCACGGGTGTGTGTTCCCAGCCAGCACACTGGTGCTGAAGCAGGGGACACGGTCTGTGTGTAGAGGGGCAGGGTTCAGGTTTCCTGGGTTGTCTAATAATTGCTTTGGTCTTTGGGCTGCACTCTGAGGCTGTGATTTGTGCACTGCAGGCCCTGCAAACCAGAATCAGCAACCTCCCCACCGTGAAGAAGTTTCTGCAGCCTGGCAGCCAGAGGAAGCCTCATGAAGATATGGAATCAATGAAGGAAACCCTGAAGATTTTTAGGCTTTAGTAAAACAGGCATGGAAGCAAAGCACAGCCCAGACCCATCTGCTAACATTTTACAAGAATAATCTGCTTGCCTAATGCTGACGGTGGCTACTGTGAAGCTACTAAACTTTTCAAATTATGTACTAATGAAAAAAAGAAAAAAACTCCTTTGACCAGTTAAAATTCATTCTTTTTCATTAGGATCTGATACGGAATCAGATTTGCAGTGTGTCCCTGACCTGCCTCTTTTTGCAATTAAAAACTTAGTACAAAAGGAAAATGTAGATTTTGTGGTTGGTTTGACTTTTCCAGTAATTTTGCTGTAACATTTGTCATATAGACTATCAAAAAATCAAGTGCTGAAATTTCCATCTGACATTTTCAGGTATGCACTGGAAAAGAGTTACCATTCTGGGGAACAGCATAGCAAAATTTTCCTCTTATCTTGGCGAGTCATTTTATTTCTGATAATGAAAGTTTGTTTCTTATGCATTTTCAAACAGCTGTTATGGCTGTGGACTCTTCAGCGTTCCAGGAGGTGCACACAACAGAGAACAGAACAGACCCACCCTCTGCTCTCAGGGGACCCTGCTGTCCCTTACCTGCAGGTGCACAGGGCACATCCTCACTGTGCTCTCCAACCCTGTGTGGGGCCCTGGACATGAGCTTTACTCTCAGTTCTCTCAGTGCCACTCAGGCCTGGGCTTCAAAACTACACACTATACATGTGAATTATTAATACCTATAAATAAATGCATGTAAAATCATTTTTTCCCTGCTTGTCACCATGCCAGAGTGCTTGGGTTAGCAGCCATTTCTAGCTTCAGCCCCATACTGGGCCCATAATGCTGGTCTCCGCAGGAGGTGTGGGCTGAGGCACACTGAGCCCTCCTGCTCTCAGAGGGAGCTCCCCGCAGGGAGAGGGGGTGAGGAGCAGACAGACTCCCTGACTGCAGCTTCCCTTCCCTGTAGCCTCTTCTCTACCGACAACCAGAGTGGTTTTTCTAAAATACAAATCTGAGCACCACTGTCTTTCCTAAATTCTTCTGTGAGTCCCCATTGCAGGCAGAATGGGTCCTACCTGCCTCCTCAGCCCCTTATCTCCAGCCAGTCACCCCCAGAGCATAGCAAGGCCTCTTGCCTTCAGCCTGGGCACATTTGCTAGCCCTGCCTGGCAAGCTGCTCCCCACCTCGTTGCCTCTCCTCTGCCCTCCACGGAGCCCTGGAAGGCTCTATCAACACCTGGGGCCACTGCGTCTGCTCCTGTCCTGTCAGCTCGCGGAGCGGGCCATGACCTGCTGGGTCCCCAGGGCTGCATCACCAACGGATGTGACACCTGCCCAGCTCCATGCACACCTCCAGGACCTAGGACCCGACTTGGGCTTGGAGAGCTCACAAACCCCCACACACCTGGCGTGACTGCATTTCTACAAAGCACGTTTTTTCACATCACTCAAATGCTATGTACAGAGCTTGCTTGGATGCTGAGGAAAAGAAACGTACTGCAAAGAAATCTACATGGGTCTCTTAGGTGCATTAGAATGCTGAATATTAGATAAAATTAAGGAATTTCAAAATTTTAATGTTACTATGTTTAAAAAGAAATGCTTACTTTCCAGAGGTAAGTATTATTTACAGACAAGGTGCTGTGGTATCTGGAATTTGCTTCAAGATAATCCCATGGTTTGGAGGGAATAGATGGGAGTTTGTCTTAGTCTTTCGTGGCTCCTGTCACGGATTATTCTAAAGCAGGTGGCTTGAAACAACATAAATGGATTCTCTTACACTTCTGAAGGCCAGAAATTTGAAGCTGAGGTGTCAGCAGGGCCACATGCCTCTGCAAACTCTAGGGAAGAATCCTTCCCTGTGTCTTTCAGCGTCTGGTCACTCTTGGCATTTCTTCACTCCCACGGATCGTGTCCCCATCACTGTAGTATCTGCCTCTGTCTGCCAGCACCTCACCCTCTGAGTGTCCGTGTCTTTTTGCTGAGTCCAGCTCAGCACAGGGAACCCCGAACCCATCGGCTCCTCCGCAGAAATGAAGACAAAGTAGCCAATTATCAGGACAAGTGGGCACGGGGGACTCGACGCTTCTAAGAGCAAAGAGCCCCGTCCTCGGTGCGCACATTGCTTTTATTCGTACAACTCAAGAGGGAACCAGGGAACTCAAGGACAGGAAACAGATGGCCGCTTACTCCCCATCTCTATATTTTGAGAATGCTCTGTCCAAAGAACATTCCCAGGCCTCCTGCATGACTGCAGTCGCTGGAGACCTGGCCGTTGACTGCGACTTCTCGGGCTGCTGACCGGACAGCTCTCCATCAGGTCGGACTCGGCTTTGCTTTGTCCACACCTGTTCGGAATCAAGGAAACAGGCAGCTCACAGCTCCTGCTCCTCCATCTTTTCTTCTCTGTGTTATCAGGACAACTTGTCATGAGTTTGGGGCCCATCCAGATAATCCAAGATGCTCTCATCCCAAGTTCTTTAACTTAATACTTCTGCAGAGACCTTTTTCCAAAATAAGGTCATATTCACAAAATCAAGCATTTGGACATGGACCTGTCTTTCTTGGGGGCCAACATAGCTTTACCCTCTACATGGTATAGATGAAAAAAGATTGACAATTGCTGAGACAGGGTGATAGGTACTTTGGCTTTTGCTATATTATTTTCTCTACTTTTGTATTGCTACAACTTTTCCATTGAAATTTAAAAACTATCTTATTTATTGAGCTCCTACTATGGCCAGGCTTTGTGCAGACTGTGAGAGTTGACACACACAGACGGAAGCTCTTTCCGCAGGAGCTAGAAGTCTATGTGGGAAACTGATATTGAATACATAATGTCAAAGTAATATAAGGAAAGATATACAGAGAAAATATAGTAATAGGCGACAATGGAGTATTCCATTCAGGACAAATACAAGACACAACGGCCCAGAGGCCAGGAAGAATAATCTGACGAAGGCAGAGGAGGAAAAGGTATGCAAATGCGGTTGCAAGATTTGGCAGAGAAAACACGGGATACCAGGTAAATGTGAATTTCTGGTAAATAATTTTAAAAATTTCAGTATAATTATGTTACATAGAATGTTTAGAACACAATGATACTAAAAATTACTAATTATTAATTGCCTGAAATTCCCATTTAACCAGGTGTCCTGGATTTTATCTGACAACCCAGTAAGAAAAGTCTTCCAGAATGCCATCAGCTTGCCCTTTACAGACGTCACCTCCTGGCTACGTATGCCCACGGTAGGGGTTTGTTATCTGCCTTAGTTCTTGCATCCAAGTCATGAAAACCCTCTAGTAAATGTCTTTGAAAAGCCAGTCTCTGTCTCTCCAATAAATGGTGTTGGCAAAACTGGATGTGCAGAAGAATGAAACTAGACTCTTACCTCTCACCATATGCAAAAATCAAATCAAAATGGATTAAAGACTTAAATCTAAGATCTGAAACCAGTAAAATAAAACTTCTTGGAAATGTTTAGGACATCCTTCTGGGCAAGGCCTTCTTGAGTAATACCCCCAAACACAGGCAACCAAAGCAAAATTAGACAAATGGGACCACATCAAGCTAAAAAGCTTCTGCACAGCAAAGGAAACAATCAACAAAGTGAAGAGACAACCCACGCAATGGAAGAGAATATTTGCAAACTACCTATCTGACAAGGGATTAATAAGTAGAATACACAAGCAGCTCCAACAACTCAATAGGAAAAACTCTATTTAAAAATGGGCAAAGGATCTGGATAGACACTTCTCAAAAGAAGACATACAAATGGCCAAGAGGTATGTGAAAAAAATGCTCGACATCATTAGTCATCAGAGAAATGCAAATCAAAACTACAATGAAACATCCTCACGCCCCAGTTAAAATGGTTCTCATCAAACAGGCAATAATGAATGTCAGAGAGAATGTGGAGAAAGGGGAACCCCCGTACACTGTTGGTGGGAATCTAAATCAGTGCAACCACTATGGAGAACAGTGTGGAATTTCCTCCAAACACTAAAAATAGAACTACCACATGACCCAGCAATCTCACTGCTAGATATATATCCAAAGGATGGGAATTTCGTATATTGAAAAGATCCCTGCACTCCCATGTGTATTGAAGTGCCATTTACATTAGCCAAGATTTGCAATCGACCTAAGTGTCCATCAATGGACGAATGAATAAAGAAATTGTGGTATAGACACACAATGGAATATGATATAGCCACAAGAAAGAATAAAATCCTACCATTTCCAACAGCATGGATGGAACTGGAGAACATTATAGTAAATGAAATAAGCCAAGCACAGAAAGACAAATCGTGCATGTACTTACTTACTCATATGTGGGAGCTAAATATTAAACACAATTGATCTCATGGAGACAGAGAATAGAATGGTGGTTATCAGAGGCTGGGGAGGGTAGCAGAGAGGGGGAGATAGAGTGGGTGTGGTTAATGGGTGGGCGTGGTTATCTAACTATAAAAATATAGTTAGATAGTTAGATAGAATGGACAATATTTGATAGCACAACAAAGTGACTATAATCAACAATAAGTTAGCGTAAACTTTAAAATAACTGAAAGAGTAGAATTGGAATGTGCCTAACACAAAGCTATGATAAATGCCTGAGGTGATGGATACTCTAATTCCCCTGATTTCATTAATTCACATTGTATGCCTGTATCAAAACATCACATGTACCCTATAAAAATATACAACTGTGTACCCATAATAATTAAAAATAAAAAGATAAAAAGCCAGCTCTACGGCCTTGCAGAGAAAGCGAAAACAATTAGTAGCTGATTTTTTTGTTTGAACTTTTATCGCCAACTTGAAAAGGAACATATTAACCAGGTCTTTTGTGCCAAGAAGATGACTTGGCATTTTTCTTCCAATCTAGTAGGGAGCCGTGGCCCTGAAATGTGTGGGATTAGCTTTTCCCTAACTTGGCACTACCCCTTTTCTTGGGAGGGGATTTATTGAAATGATAAGTAGTTAATAGTCGCATCAGGAACTGCTTTTATGGGTTCAGGAAAGTGAGTCAGGAAAGTGATAAGGAAGTAAGTACTGATCTTATAAATATATCTTTGGTTCAAGGGCAAAAGCTATGTAAAAGGTGAGGAAAACACTATACTCTTGTTAGTAACTTTGTTTCCCATAAAGGTACACATTAGCAGTTCCGCAACTATTTTATGTGTACTAGGACTGAAAAAATGTGTAAATATTGTATATTTTAGATAATAAGAGCTAAGTTTCTCACTTGTTAGAGAAAGAGGTTAAAAA